GATTCTAATTGACTGTAACGTAGCTGCGCTTGTAGTCCTCTAGGTAAGGGATGTCAAGGTCTCTGTGAAGGGTCTCGTTGGAAACATACAATGGGACGTTAGTGATTGTACGCAAGGTTCTGTTCTGTAAAACCTGCAGGCTACGCAAATGCGTTTTGGCGAGAAAACACCAAGCCGCACTTGCGTAAGTGATCGCTGGCGCTGGTCTAATAACCATCTTGTATAGCCGAACTTTGTTGATCAAACTTAATTTTGATGTTCTTCATAGCCGAAACAAGATTTGGAATTTAGTTTTTAACGCTTCAGTGTTCTTCTGCCAGGTTATCCCCTTGTCAAGAGTGACACCGAGATACTTAGCAGAGCTTTCCCATGGTATCCGAGCTCCATTCACTGAAACCTCAGACGGGGTGCCGCTACGTTTTTTAGTACAATAGATTGCCTGCGTTTTCGAATGATTAATTTTGATCAGCCACCGATTCTCCCATTCCAATACCTCGTCCACTGCACTTTGCAGCCTGTCGTGAACTAGATCCCCAGAACACGACTGGGCCACCAGGGCATTGTCATCATCATAGAGATAGGTTTCACAGCTGCTGGGGCAAGGGACGTCATGAATAAAAAGTGAATAGAGGACTGGTCCAAGAACCGAACCCTGAGGAACACCGGCTTTGTTGTTCCGTGTTGTCAACAGAACGTTATTAATTTTGATCCGAAATTTCCTACCCTCGAGAAAGGATTTCAAAAGTTTTAGGAGCCAGAAGGGGAAGGCCCTTATGGATCAATTTGTAGAGAAGGCCCTTGTGCAACACCTTGTCAAATGCCTTTGAGACATCCAGTAGCAAGATGCCAGTACTTTCGTTACGTGTGAACCCGCTGGTTACTCGTTCAACAAGCCTTATGGCCTGTAGCTCCTTACTATGCTCAGACCGAAAGCCAAATTGCCAGTCAGGAATCACATTGTGGTCTGCCGAGAAATTTTCAAGGTGACGTAGAATCACCTTTTCAGCGAGCTTAGAAGGAGCTGACAGTAGACTAATGGGGCGGTAATCCTGGGGGAATATCGAACCCACCTTCTTTGGAATCATTATGACATTAGCGGTATTCCACGTCGTTGGGAAGTGCTGTGTCCTTAGCATGGCATTGATTATTGCCACGAGATAAGTTGAGGACTTCCGCGAAAGTAGCTTCAGCGCCTTATTACTGATTCGATCCTCTCCAGGGGCTTTACGCACCTTGAGGTCTTTAATATGACCTTGGAGCTCTGCTGTGTGCAATGCGGAGTCTCAGGAGATTCCGCTGATGTGCCGTGCAGCTCTTCAGTTGAAGATTCCTCTGAGGAAAAATCACTAAGGGATGCACTACAGCCACTGACGCCGTTGGCCCTAAAATATCTCCTGACGGATCTTACAATATGTTGCTCTTCGTCGAGGTCATTATCAAGGTCATAGTTGGGAGAGAACTGACTTTCCATTGCATCAGCGAAAACCTCGACCTTTTCCTCTGTCCTACAGACTATGCCCCTAGGGCCGCGAATGTGCGGGAGTTGTTCTCGCTTTCCGTTTCTGAGCGACTTTTCAACTTTCCAGAGAGGAATACTTGAGTCAAGCATCCGCGACAGCAGGTCGCTCCATTGCTCATTACGGAATTCATGAATAGCATTTCTCACTTCATGAACAAGATTCGTTGCTCTGTGAATGTCATCTGGGTGACAAGACCTATTCGCTTGCTTAATTGCAGCTCTTTTGTCAGAAATTTTCTGACGAATGTCTGCAGGGAGAAATAGACTATCTTCAATCAATACATGAAGGTGCCCAGTGAAAATAGACATTAGAGAGTCCAAAAAGGGATTGAAGTACCTAACGCCATCTATGAAACGGTAGCACGACCAAACACTTTAACTATTTCCAAAGCAAGAAAGTATCGTAATTGAAAAAAAATTAGAAAATGAGGTACGTTTTCTGTATGTTATATGACGTGTATAACTTGGAAAGTACCTGTTGGATTTTGATGAAATTTTCACACATGAATAGAATAGTGTAGAATAGACTAGAATATTGCTTTATTTGTGTGAGCCTGTGAAAAAAATCGCAGATGCGAATAACTAATACATAACATGAAAAAATTGGGATACAGAAACACATTTAAGGATAACAATAATTCATTTGTACTACAGAACATTTTATTTAGCAAAAGGTTCCTAAGTTTAATTTTGAGCAAAAATAAGCTAAAAATTTCAATGTGAATATGGTGCTTATGTCTAGTATTGCAGGAGTGTACCTCACATAAATCTGTGTTTTCTTTAACAAATAGGCATAACTCGTAGATCAATATTGACGGTAACGTTAAAATTTTATTGTCTTCAAATACTGGTCTGCTGAAGACTGTCCAGTGGATTGAGACCAGAGACTAACCTATACCCTATTCGTAGTTTATTTACGCTCTGGCACAACACAGATGCAGCGCGGCAAAGCGGCAGCCGCCTAAGCGTTGCAATAGCCATTGGTATTTTGGCCATAAATCTACGAACAAGTGCAGAACTCGACAGGATAGAACTCAGGCTCGGGGTATCGCCGGCACGCAGACGTCGGCAGTTGCTGTTCATATTCGGTGCATACATAGCGAGTGTTTATACGTTAGCATGTCGTCTACGGATACAGCAGATGAAACTGAGAATATGTCTCTCCAGCCATGCTTGCCCTTCAGTGATGTCTCCTCCCCGAAAACGTGACAATAAGGGACATTTGCATATTGAGGCAAAATAAATTGTCCTTGACGTTTATAAGAGCGAAATTTTAGAAATTTTAGAGCATCCTGAAATAAAAATTCATGATCTTCAAAGACGTGTGGCGAACAAAAGAGGCTTATGCCCTAAAACAATTTTCAACACTGTTAAAGGATATAAAAAAACAAAGAATTGTCTCCAGCACACAAGAGGTTGCATTACACGAAGCTGTAGGATTCAATTGATAACTTTAATCGGAATGCCATAAGACGCAGTCCATCAATTTTTGGAAAGGCAGGAACTTCCCACCATAGGCAAAGTATTACAGGAGGTCAATAGTGATGAAGACTTACCTATTTTCAACAGGACCACATTCTATAGTATACTCAAAGAACTTCATTTTGAGTATACAGGGTGACTTCGAAGTTGAGTCATTTATTTTAGCAGTGAGTAGATCTGATCAAAAGAAATGTTTTTTTCCTTTAACATTTTTGTGGTAAAATTAAAGTAACAAAGTTATAGCCCTTTAGAAGTTTGAGTACCGCCCTGTCTCAATAATAATATTATGTGCTCGTGTTTGGCAACAACGGATATAATCCGCCTTATCGGTTCATCGCATCGGAAACAAAAAAGCGAAAGAATTTGAAACGCTGATCACGATGTTTTTATTCAGTCTGTGTCAGTCGCTAACGCGTGAGTGAATAGTGGTGTTTGCTGCGTGGCTCAAACGAAATAAAAAATGGCACATGTTTATGCGGATCGGTTTCCCAATCGAGTGCAACCAACCCCTCGTGCCTTTGTTAATGTAGTACAACGGGCTCGTGAATCAGGTGACTTAAGACCTCACATTGGAGGCCATGCCGGTGCTCCAAGACCTCACGATCAAATACAGGTCCGCACTGAAATACTTGTCGGGAGGATACTTTATAAAACAAGGTAATTTTTTTTTTATTTTTACACACATATTTTGGTTTATCTTCCTTCTACAGTCATTATCTGAAAATTAATGACTCAACTTCAAAGTCACCCTATATAAAACGGGGCAGAAATAGTATTTTGATGGACAGTCAGGAGATTTTTTTATCGAGAAGAAATTGTTTAAAATCAATAAAGAAATACCGCGACGAGTTCAGGAAGACTTATTACTTCGATGAAACCTGGATAAATGCAGGACATACAAAACCTAAATTATGGACTGACTCTACAATTAAATCGGCAAGACAAGCCTTCCTAGATGGACTAACCACTTGCCTGAAGAATCCGGCAGGTACGTTATTTGCGTTATAAAAATGGTGTCATGTTGACTGAATCTATAAGCCCACGCTGAAAACTTAACTACACTAAGTAAGGCAGATTTGGAACCAACACCTGATAGATACTCTGCTTGTATTATTATTAGTTGTCTTGAATACTAAATGAAATAATCATTTCCAGTAAAAGGAAAACGATTCGTTATCTGTCGCATTGGCAGCGAAGATGGCTTTGTGCCCACTATGGTCATTTGAGTCAAAGAAAACTACCGACTACCATGAAGAAATGGACAGGAGTTGATGTGAACGATAGTTTGAAGAAACGCTCCCAAAGCTTGACGACAATGCCGTCATTGTACTTGATAATACTGCATACCACACTAGAAAACTAGAAAAAATCCCCACAATGTCCACAAGAAAGGAAGAAATTCAACAATGGCTGCTATCAGAAGACATTAGTTTCAATCAAAATATGGTCAAAGCAGAACTTATCTATCTAGTCAGGCAGCACAAATAAAAATATAATCTTAATATTATTGATAAAATGGCTAAAAACCAAAATAAAACTGTGTTAAGGCTACCCCCTTATCAGTGCGAATGAAATCCCATTGAAATTATTTGGGCAAATATAAAAAACTATGTGGGTTCAAACAATAGAACATTCAGGTTTTCTGACGCGAAAAATTTGTTTTATGTCAACAGAGTGACGGCAAACCATTGGAAAGATTGCATCCATCACGTTCAAGAGACAATCAAAATAAAGTTGTGGGATCTGGGCAATATGATCGATATTCAAATTGAACCTGTAATAATTGATATTAACCATTTGTAGGATGATTCAAGTACTTCCAGCGAATAAAGAATTGAGAAAAGTATGTGCACTTCTTTCTATCATTTATTTTGTTATATTATTCCAAGACCATTGAGCAAAATATGGACCTCTGTACAATCTCGCTTTTGGGCATGTTGTATTTTGTGTGGTCTTAAATGGACTACGAATGGGGTATGATCAGCCTCTTTTGTAGATTGAATATTTTGTGTATGCCACAGCTCATAGGTGGTAGATGGTCTCTGACTGTCGAACGCGGAGGTACCACCCGGCGGTTCTCGTAGGTGGAGCCAGAATGTGTGCATGTTGCATGCACACGTGTTCCCTCACCAGAGTCCGTGTGGCGTCCCCCCCCCTTTCCCATGTATCCCCCACGGTACCCAATGGGTGCTTAGGCCTTAGGCCTTCGTGGTAGTTGGAGTATAAAAAAAAAGGTTACAAATACTAGTTCCCGTAGGTTTCTTAACGCAATGTAAGCCGAGTTAATCTTAGGTGGTTACTACTATACCAAGGATGGAAAAGCTTTTAATATGTTTAATTCATTTTCAGTTTGAAAACAAATGATCTCTCTTGAATTGTTTTCCTTCGATACGCCATTTTTGAGTAAAAAAAAATAAAAACCGTTCTATTGTCTAACTTAAAATTATTTTTTATTTAATTGGAAAAATTAAACACATTAGGGGTAATGAACAACAACAACTGACGACAAAAACATAACATTAAAACCAACGAAATGATTACAAAAATTGTTGAAAATGGCCCCCCTTCACTTAGTATGCATGCTTCCGCCCTCCTTCTCATGGAATTGCGCACCCGTTGAAATATACCTGGAGTGCCTTTATTCTATCACAAGCTGCAACTATTCTTTCTCTTAATTCCTCTACAGTGTTAATGGGACTTGTTTACACTAGTGTCTTAAGATAGCCCCACAAAAAGAAATCTAAACTGTTGGGGGTCTGGGGTCTGGGTACCTTGGTGGCCATTCTCGGGGCCCACCGCTTCCAATCCAACGATTTGGATAAAAAGTTTGCAAATAATTACGAACCGCTACACTGAAATGCGCTGGTGCATCATCATGCATGTACCACATATTTTTTCTTATTACTAACGGAACATCATCAAGCAGCAAAGGCAACTGTTGTTGAAGAAAATTGTGGTAAGTCTGTCCGTCAAGTCTTCCCGGCAAGAAGAATTGGCGAGTAAAGTGGTTGCCAGTAATGCCTGCCCTAAAATTGGTGTTGGAAATGGGTTTCGGTTACGGCATAGAGATTTTCTTCTGCCCACAAATGATTATTGTGGAAATTCTGAATGGCATTTCGAGAAAAATTTGCTTCGTCCGTGAACAGAATCATTGATTCAAATTGCGGATTTTGTGTAATTTTTTGAAGATACCACTAACAAAAGGTCACACGCCTTGGAAAATCAATGGGAAGTAATGCCTGTACTCTTAAAATATGGTAAGGATATAACAAAAAATCCACTAAAATTCTCCAAACAATTTAATGGCAAATATTTAAGTGTCTAGCGATCTTCCTCGTACTTGTTTCAGGATGTTCTTCGACGTCGTGCAGCACTGCTTCCTCAGTTTCAGGTGTTTCCTCACTTAGAGGTCTACCTTCAGATGTTCCTTTTCGGACAGAACCAGTTTCAGCAAGATGACGATGAATATTTGAAAAGGTTCGCCTATCTGGCAAAGCACACAATGCCGTCATTGTAGTTGATCATGCTGCATACCACACTAGAAAACTAGAAAAAATCCCCACAATGTCCACAAGAAAGGAAGAAATTCAACAATGTCTGCTATCAGAAGACATTAGTTTCAATCAAAATATGGTCAAAGCAGAACTTATCTATCTAGTCAGGCAGCACAAATAAAAATATAATCTTAATATTATTGGCTAAATGGCTAAAAACCAAAATAAAACTGTGTTAAGGCTACCCCCTTATCAGTGCGAATGAAATCCCATTGAAATTATTTGGGCAAATATAAAAAACTATGTGGGTTCAAACAATAGAACATTCAGGTTTTCTGACGCGAAAAATTTGTTTTATGTCAACAGAGTGACGGCAAACCATTGGAAAGATTGCATCCATCACGTTCAAGAGACAATCAAAATAAAGTTGTGGGATCTGGACAATATGATCGATATTCAAATTGAACCTGTAATAATTGATATTAACCATTTGTAGGATGATTCAAGTACTTCCAGCGAATAAAGAATTGAGAAAAGTATGTGCACTTCTTTCTATCATTTATTTTGTTATATTATTCCAAGACCATTGAGCAAAATATGGACCTCTGTACAATCTCGCTTTTGGGCATGTTGTATTTTGTGTGGGCTTAAATGGACTACGAATGGGGTATGATCAGCCTCTTTTATAGATTGAATATTCTGTGTATGCCACAGCTCATAGGTGGTAGATGGTCTCTGACTGTCGAACGCGGAGGTACCACCCGGCGGCTCTCGTAGGCGGAGCCAGAATGTGTGCATGTTGCATGCACACGTGTTGCCTCGCCAGAGTCCGTGTGGCGTCCCCCCCTTTTCCATGTATCCCCCACGGTACCCAATGGGTGCTTAGGACTTAGGCCTTCGTGGTAGTTGGAGTATAAAAAAAAAGGTTACAAATACTAGTTCCCGTAGGTTTCTTAACGCAAAGTAAGCCGAGTTAAGCTGGTAAGAGGTGGTTACTACTATACCAAGGATGGAAAAGCTTTTAATATGTTTAATTCATTTTCAGTTTGAAAACAATGATATATCTTGAATTGTTTTCCTTCGATACGCCATTTTTGAGTAAAAAAAATAAAAACCGTTCTATTGTCTAACTTAAAATTATTTTTAATTTAATTGGGGTAATGAACAACAACAACTGACGACAAAAACATAACATTAAAACCAACGAAATGATTACAAAAATTGTTGAAAATGGCCCCCCTTCACTTAGTATGCATGCTTCCGCCCTCCTTCTCATGGAATTGCGCACTCGTTGAAATATCCATGAAGTGTTTTTTATTCTATCACAAGCTGCAACTATTCTTTCTCTTAATTCCTCTACAGTGTTAATGGGACTTGTTTACACTAGTGTCTTAAGATAGCCCCACAAAAAGAAATCTAAACTGTTGGGGGTCTGAGGTCTGGGGACTTTGGTGGCCATTCTCGGGGCCCACCGCGGCCAATCCAACGATTTGGATAAAAAGTTTGTAAATAATTACGAACCGCTACACTGAAATGCGCTGGTGCACCATCATGCATGTACCACATATTTCTTATTACTAACGGAACAGCATCAAGCAGCAAAGGCAACCGTTGTTGAAGAAAATTGAGGTAAGTCTGTCCGTCAAGTCGTCCCGGCAAGAAGAATGTGCCAATAAAGTGGTTGCCAATAATGCCTGCCCTAAAATTGGTGTTGAAAATGGGTTTCGGTTACGGCATAGGGATTTTCTTCTGCCCACAAATGAATATTGTGGAAATTCTGAATGGCATTTCGAGAAAAATTAGCTTCGTCCGTGAACAGAACCATTGATTCAAATTGCGGATTTTGTGTAATTTTTTGAAGACGTAATGCCTGTACTCTTAAAATATGGTAAGGATATAACAAAAAATCCACTAAAATTCTCCAAACAATTTGATGGCAAATATTTAAGTGTCTAGCGAGCTTCCTCTTACTCGTTTCAGGATGTTCTTCGACTTCGGGCAGCACTGTTTCCTCAATTTCAGGTGTTCTCACACTTAGAGGTCTACCTTCAGATGCTCCTTTTCGGACAGAACCAGTTTCAACAAAACGACGATGAATATTAGAAAAGGTTCGCCTATCTGGTAAAGCACAATCGGGATATCTCTGGTGATAAATCCGTCTGGCTTGCTCACCATTACCGTCGGCAAGGCCATAGGCCATATACGTAATGCATTTGCACCATCTCTGCATTTGAATAGTTCAGCATTATTAACAAGATTGTAAAAACTAAATAATGAAAAAGATATCACAGCGAACAGATTTGAATAACAGAGACTTGTCAGATGTCAAAAGCCAGTGACATATTCCAGAGCAACTAGATATTTATTGCTAAATTGCATTCTTCAATTATTACATTAATTTTCTCGGACAATAGAACGGTTTTTATCTTTTACTCAAAAATGGCGCATCGAAGGAAAACAATTCAAAAGAAATCATTTGTTTCAAAGTTAACGGCGAATTCAAAAATAATTTTTATTTGGCATAAAGCCATTGGCGTATTATTTTTTTTCTAAAAAAATATTGAAGTCAATACCCGTACCCATGCCACTGTTAAAGCTAAAAATTATTTTTGCATTGAAAAATACGCAACTTTATTAACTTTCACTATGTACTAAATATCAGTGAAATATCTGAAGGGGTTCTGAAAATATTAATTAATTTCCATTTTTGGACCATAGGTTATAAATATAAAGCAAACTAACATTTCATGTAGATTCACACCCTTAAATATTCGCATATCATTAAGTGACACCCTGTATATACAATTGGATCTGGCTAATGGGCCGTAATGTCCTAGTGCCATAAAAAAGGACTTCCACGTTCGCGGCCGGCGTACCGGTGTTCGTATCATAATGCTATCAGATATTGGGGAGAGGCGACGCGACATTGCCAGATGGACAATATTACGGGTAGGGCAGGGAAACGATGTTATGGTCTAATTTTACGGACCTGTTTGACGAACTTGATCCGTTTAATTTCTCTATCATACATGTTCATAACTAACTTTTTTCTTAGAGGGCCTAACTTAAACATGCTGCTTAAATGTCAACAAGAGACAGTCAAATAGTCATACAGCTGTATCGTGCTTTTCTGGCAACTCATCAGCTCGTACTAGGCTTGAACTCTGCGACAACAAAGAGAAGCATAGCAACGTTCCTCTATCCAGGATATAAGTTCAATGACGCTGTGGTATTTCGATAGGGTCTAATCTGTGCTGAACGTAGTCCTTTATGAACTGATGACGGCGTTGCGTGGGAAGTGAAGAGTCAACCTACTTGCCGCCATTTTTTGGCCGTTGGGACACAGTATATGGTCAGTTATTTTCATGTAGAATGCGTTAATCAATCCTCAAACTGGTACACTGGTGAATCCATGTCACTTGCTCAGCTCCAAGACATATTTAGTCTAAGCTACCGCTTTTTTACTGATTTGTCAACAGAATTTGTTCCTCTTAGCTGTCTACCATAATCTTGCTAAACCTGAGTCAGCTTCTTGTTCTGAGATATCCATACGGTGTTCGTCGTAATTGAAGGTTTCTTCTGGTTGTTTCACAATGTTAGCTCGGATGTTCTGCAGTGATCGGTTTTGGCTCAAATATTGCTTCTGTTAGATTAGAGCCCTCCTTGTCTTGTACGATAAAGTCAATTTACATATTTGCAGGTGGCACAAGCTTAAGTGCGGGCATTCAGCTGGAGAGAAGAAGGCTGATAGCGAGTTTCTCTCTCTGTGCCAGGCTTTCGTTAATTTCAATTTAGTCAATATTTGTACGACGACTCTTTTGTTTCCAGAGTTACGAGAGTCTGCCCCAAGTAGCAAGTTTTAAATTACTTCCGTTGCAGGAAACGTACAAAGTCTAATCCCACTTGAGGTTAATTTTTTCATCAGCTATACCGTTAATGGTACAAATCATAGACGTTCTTCTCAGAAAAATACGTTATTAAGCCGGTTACCTACTAGAAATCTTCCTCATCAACTATACAATTATTATTGAAATAGTTTCAGATAATTCGAGGAGGTCTGATAACCAGACAAATAACAGTTATTGATATGGCTGACGATGTATTGTGCCACCCATCTTGACGTATAAACACTACTAATGAACCTAGATTCTTATGGTTCAACGTTCAACAAATCATTACCTAAATGACGTTTCAATTTCTTATTTCATCTAGTTACATCTTCTTTGTGAAAGTCACGTCTTATTTGTGGGACCCAAGAACGATGGATATATTGGGAATATCTTAGCTGAAATTTCTGATGGTATTGAAAGAACAACATCTTCATCATCGTGTCAATCATGGAGGAAATTCGTAGTCCTTCGATTTGATGACTCTTGATTCTCAGAAGTATTTGCTGTGAGAATTAGGTATTTGATTTTTTTTAAGTATAGATAATCACATGAGGTTTTTAGTTCCAAGAGTCTATGCACAACAAAGGGCTAACAATGATACTAAAAGTAATCGTTAAATCGGAGAAATTTGCAAAAAAAAAATGTCAAAACTATTTAGTTACAATTATAAGCAAATACCGCATTATTCGTGGAAAGGGATTCATTGGGAATTGTAATTTCTGGAAAACTGCGAATAACAAAACATTTTGTAACCAAATGAAGCTTACATAAAACAAAGATTGTCACGGAGTCAAATTTTTTTAGAAAAAGTACATCTTTCGTTTATTAACACCTCTTAAAAAAGAAAAAGGCTAAATGACAAAATGCAAAATTGGCTTACTGACGAGCTGAAATTGAGGATTTTTTCGGACAAAGATCCTGTAGCTCTACAAGAACCGATACAAACCCCATAGTATTTTTCAGATGAGGAACGCATGGTTGTCTACAATTATTGCACCTAACTTTTTTGAACATGTTTTGAAATAACCGAGCGATTAACCGATTACACGCTAAACTAATACCCTGTATATATAGTATACTGAAATGTTTAGGATATATCCACTGGTACGAACACATCTGGTCAATAGCGACAGCTGCTGGAGAAAAGCCGGGCTCTTTGTTTAAGGCTAAGAAGTACTTTTCTCCACATGACCTTATTCTGTACAAAGCCCAGATAAGGCCTAACCTCGAGTATGACTCACATGTTTGAGGTGCTGCAGCACCGACTACATTATCCATGCACGATGTTATTCAGAGGAGACCCGCCTGACTTTGACCTCCCATCCTAACCGTATCAAACTTCGTACAGAACTGGCCGATACGACCGCTCCTTTGTCCCTAGGGTATCAATACTGTGGAATAATCTACATGAGGAGAATTTTCCCAGTTCTACTAACCTTAGGCAAGTCAAAAATCGGTTTAACAAAATTTCTTTAAGCTCCTCATAGCAGCCGCGGTAACCTGGCATTTCGACCTCTCCTTGGGCGGCTGCTTAAATGTATAAAAAAAGGTTTAAATCAAACCGTGGTGTCATTAAGTAACCCCGCCTCGATTATCGCTACATTAACAAAAGCACGGAGATAGATACAATGCTTTCAGAAAGCCCCCCCAACCCTACTTATTTTTTTACGGTTCAAGTTATCAAGCTGATACAATTGATGCATAAATGCTATATTTTAACGTACAAATAATACTTGAAAATGTCACTATGGCGGCTGGGCGCCGTCTTGGAACATGTCAGTAGAATTCAATAGAATGGGGGGTGACGTGTCATTTCACAGCTCCTGATGAGCAATTCATAACCCAGGCTGTCAAAATTGAGCGTTTTGTGCACAATGAATCGGTTATAACTCAGCAACCAATGATCACAATGCTATAGTATGCTACATCAAGCTTTTTTAAACTGTCTTTCCCATATTGTATTGCCCATTGAGATAGACCCTTCCAAAGGAAGACTATTGACATA